CCTCCTATGAGGACACAGGCAGGGGCTGTAACCCTCCTCCCTCCTATGAGGGCACAGACAGGGGCTCTAACCTTCCCCCTCCAAGAGTACACAGACATGGGCTCTAACCCTCCCCCTCCTATGAGGACATAGACAGGGGCTCTAACCCTCCTCTAATATTAGAACACACACAGAGGCTCTAACCCTCCCTTCCTATGAGGGCACATACAGGGGCTCTAACCCTCTCCTCCTATGAGGACACAGACAGGGGCTCTAACCGTCCCCCTCCTATGAGGACACAGGCAGAGGTTCTAACCCTTCCCCTCCTATGAGGACACATACAGAAGCTCTATCCCTCTCCCTCCTATGAGGACACAGATAGGGGCTCTAACCCTCCCCCACTCCTATGAGGACTCTGACAGGGGCTCTAACTCTCCCCTCCTATGAGGATACAGACAGGGGCTCTAATCCCCCTCTTATGAGGACACAGACATGGGCTGTAACTCTCCCCTAATATTAGGATACAGACAGAGGCTGTAACCCCCCTCTCCAAGAGTACACAGACATGGGCTCTAACCCTCCCCCTCCTTTGAGGACACAGACAAGGGCTCTAACCCTCTACCTCATATGAGGACACAGACAGGGGGTCTAACCCTCCACTCCTATGAGGACACAGACAGGGGCTCTAACCCTTCCCTCCTATGAGGACACAGACAGGGCTGTAACCCTTCCCTAATATTAGGACACAGACAAAGGCTCTAACCCTCCCCCTCCAAGAGTACACAGACATGGGCTATAACCCCCCCCCTCCTTTGAGGACACAGACAGTGGCTCTAACCCTCCTCCCTCTTATGAGGGCACAGACAGGGGCTCTAACCCTCCTCCCTCCTATGAGGGCACAGACAGGGGCTCTAACCCTCCCCCTCCAAGAGTACACAAACCCACCTTCACCTATGAGGACAGAGGCTCTAACCCACTTCCTCCTATGAGGATACAGACAGAGGCTCTAACCCTCCCCTCCTATGAGGACACAGACAGGGGCTCTAACTCTCCCCCTCCTATGAGGACACAGGCAGGGGCTCTAACCCTCCCCTCCTATGAGGACACAGACAGGGGCTCTAACCCTCCCCCTCCTATGAGGACACAGACAGGGGCTCTAACCCTCCCCTCCTATGAGGACACAGACAGGGACTCTAACCCTCCCCCTCTTTGGGGACACAGACAGGGGCTCTAACCCTCCCCTCCTATGAGGACACAGACAGGGGCTCTAACCCTCCCCCTCCTATGAGGTACACAGACAGAGGCTCTAAACCCTCCCCCTCCTGTGAGGACACAGACAGGGGCTCTAACCCTCCCCTCCTATGAGGACACAGACAGGGGCTCTAACCCTCCCTCTCCTATGAGGACACAGACAGGGGCTCTTACCCACCTCCTCCTATGAGTACACAGACAGAGGCTCTAAACCTCCCCTCCTGTGAGGACAGAGACAGGGGCTCTAACCCTTCACTCCTATGAGGACACAGACAGGGGCTCTAACCCTCCCCTTCTATGAGGATACAGACAGAGGCTCTAACCCTCTCCTCCTATGAGGATACAGACAGAGGCTCTAACCCTCCACTCCTATGGGGACACAGACAGGGGCTCTAACCCTCCCCCTCCTATGAGGACACAGACAGGGGCTCTAACCCTCCCCTTCCTATGAGGACACAGACAGGGGCTCTAACCCTCCCTCTCCTATGAGGACACAGACAGGGGCTCTAACCCACCTCCTCCTATGAGTACACAGACAGAGGCTCTAAACCTCCCCTCCTGTGTGGACACAGACAGGGGCTCTAACCCTTCACTCCTATGAGGACATAGACAGGGGCTCTAACCCTCCCCTCCTATGAGGATACAGACAGAGGCTCTAACCCTCCACTCCTATGGGGACACAGTATGCTGACTCCCCCAATATGGTGGCTACTCTAATACGGCGGCTCCTCTAATATGGTTGCTCCCCCAATATGGCGGCTCCCCCAGTATGGCAGCTACTGTGATATTACTGTGACCCCAATATGGCAGCTACCCAACTATGATGGCTACCCCAATATGGCGGCTCCCCCAATATGCTGGCTCCTACAACATGTTGGCTCCCCCAATATGCTGGCTACCTCAACATGGCTATTCCTCTAATATGGCGGCTTCCCCAATATACTGGCTCCCTCAATATGGCGGCTCCCCTACAATGGCGGCTCACCCAATATGGCGGTTCACCTATTATGTCGGCTCCCCTAATACACTTGCTCTCTCAATATGGCGGCTCCCCCAATATGCTGGCTCCCTTAATATGGCGGCTCCCTCAATAAGGTGGCTCCCTTAATATGGCGGCTTCCCCAATATGGCAGCTCCCCCAATATGCTGGCTCCCTTAATATGGCGGCTCCCTCAATATGGTGGCTCCCTTAATATGGCGGCTTCCCCAATATGACGACTCCTCCAATATGGCGGCTCCCCCAATATGCCGGCTCCCCCAATATAGCTGCTTCCACAATCTTGCGGCTCCCCTAATATGGCGGCTTCCCCAATATGCCGGCTCCCCCATTATGCCGGCTCCCTCAATGTGGTGACTCCCTCAATATGGCGGCTCCCCCAATATGGCTGCTCCCCCAATATGGCGGATCCCTCAATATGGCGGCTCCCCCAATATACTGGCTCCCTCAATATGGCGGCTCCCCCAATATGGCGGCTCCCCTAATTTGGCGGCTCCCCCAATATGCTGAGTCCCCCAATATTCTGACTCCCTCAATATGGCGGCTCCTTCAATATGGCGGCACCAGAACTCACATCTCCACAGCGCAGACTGTCCACGGTGGGCCCAATTGCTACATCTCTTCTATGTTGTGGGAAATGATTGACTCACAGAGGGCCATAGACCTGATCTCGTTTGTCTCCTCCTGCCAACTCTGGTGTCCAGACTGACCACTATTGTCTCCTCCTGTCTGACCGCTATTGTCTCCTCCAGCATGACCTCTATTGTCTCCTCCTCCTTCCTGACAACTATAGTCTCCTCCTCCTGCCTCCTCCTCCTCCTGCCTGACCATTATTATCTCCTCCTCCTTCCCGACCACTATTGTCGCCTCCTCCTGCCTGACCACTCTTGTCTCCTCCTCCTGCCTGACCTCTATTGTCTCCTCCTCCTATCTGACCATTATTATCTCCTCCTCCTTCCCGACCACTATTGTCGCCTCCTCCTGCCTGACCACTATTGTCTCCTCCTCCTGCCTGACCACTATTGTCTCCTCCTCCTTCCTGACCGCTATTGTCTCCTCCTCCTTCCTGACCGCTATTGTCTCCTCCTCCTTCCTGACCGCTATTGTCTCCTCCTTCCTGACCACTATTGTCTCCTCCTCCTGCCTGACCACTATTGTCTCCTCCAGCCTGACCACTATTGTCTCCTCCTCCTCCTTCCTGACCACTATTGTCTCCTCCTCCTGCCTGACCACTATTGTCTCTCCTCCTCCCTACTGACCACTATTGTCTCCTCCTCCTTCCTGACCACTATTGTCTCCTCTCCTTCCTGACCACTATTTGTCTCCTCCTCCTCCTTCCTGACCACTATTGTCTCCTCCTGCCTTACCACTATTGTCTCCTCCTCCTTCCTGACCACTATTGTCTCCTCCTGACCACCCTGACCACTATTGTCTCCTCCTCCTTCCTGACCACTATTGTCTCCTCCTCCTTCCTGACCGCTATTGTCTCCTCCCTTCCTGACCACTATTGTCTCCTCCTCCTTCCTGACCACTATTTTTCTCCTCCTGCCTTACCACTATTGTCTCCTCCTCCTTCCTGACCACTATTGTCTCCTCCTCCTTCCTGACCACTATTTTCTCCTCCTGCCTTACCACTATTGTCTCCTCCTCCTTCCTGACCGCTATTGTCTCCTCCTCCTTCCTGACCGCTATTGTCTCCTCCTTCCTGACCACTATTGTCTCCTCCTTCCTGACCACTATTGTCTCCTCCAGCCTGACCACTATTGTCTCCTCCTCCTGCCTGACCACTATTGTCTCCTCCTCCTGCCTGACCACTATTGTCTCCTCCTTCCTGACTACTATTGTCTCCTCCTCCCTACTGACCACTATTGTCTCCTCCTCCTTCCTGACCGCTATTGTCTCCTCCTCCTTCCTGACCGCTATTGTCTCCTCCTCCTTCCTGACCGCTATTGTCTCCTCCTCCTTCCTGACCGCTATTGTCTCCTCCTCCTTCCTGACCACTATTGTCTCCTCCTTCCTGACCACTATTGTCTCCTCCTTCCTGACCACTATTGTCTCCTCCAGCCTGACCTCTATTGTGTCTCCTCCTTCCTGACCACTATTGTCTCCTCCTTCCTGACCACTATTGTCTCCTCCCAGCCTGACCTCTATTGTCTCCTCCTCCTTCCTGACCACTATTGTCTCCTCCTTCCTGACCACTATTGTCTCCTCCTTCCTGACCACTATTGTCTCCTCCTTCCTGACCACTATTTGTCTCCTCCTCCTGTCTCCTCCTGACCACTATTGTCTCCTCCTGCCTGACCACTATTTCTCCTCCTGCCTTACCACTATTGTCTCCTCCTGCCTGACCACTACTACCACTATTGTCTCCTCCAGCCTGACCACTATTGTCTCCTCCTGCCTTACCACTATTTGTCTCCTCCTGCCTGACTACTATTGTCCTCCTCCAGCCTGACCACTATTGTCTCCTCCTGCCTGACCACTATTGTCTCCTCTTTCCCGACCACTATTGTCTCCTCCTGCTGACCACTATTTTCTCCTCCTGCCTATTGTCTCCTCCCACTATTGTCTCCTCCTGCCTTACCACTATTGTCCTCCTCTTTCCTGACCACTATTGTCTCCTCCTGCCTGACCACTATTGTCTCCTCCTGCCTGACCACTATTGTCTCCTCTTTCCTGACCACTATTGTCTCCTCCTGCCTTACCACTATTGTCTCCTCCAGCCTGACCACTCTTGTCCTCACCACCTTCTCCTCTTTCTGGTCTGTCGTAGGATGAGCGGAATCAGATCCTGATGGCGTACCTGTGGATCCGGCAGGTGTGGTATGACGCCTACCTTCGGTGGAACAAGGATGAGTATGACGGCCTGGACACCATCCGTATCCCTAGTAGTTATGTCTGGAGACCCGATATCGTCCTCTATAATAGGTAGGTGGGGTGGAGGTTGGGAAGGTCAGTTCTTATCGTTCCTCCAGCCCGGGTGCAACCAACCTTCTCCTCTGTCACCGGGGACGGCCTTGCCTGGTTCTTCTGTCTGTGGAGGTCCACAGACTTCATGGCTTTCAGTGGTTGATGGAGTTGGGACGTATCGGAACCCCTGGCAGGTTCTCTGCTAGATTTCTATTAATTTCCTGTCCCGCTGAGAGCCATCAGACGGAGATGAAGCCACACCAAGGACACCCGGCAGGGTCCTAGCCTTCCTCTACTCTTCCAAAGGCAGGACTTCCTGGTTGGTGGAACATTGTTTGTAGGACAGAAAGTCAGGAGAAATCTCCTAGCCGAGGCCCGGAGAGTGGTACGACCAGGGGTGGACTGACAACTCATGGGGCCCCCGGGCAATAGGGGATCATGGGGCCCCTGTGTCCTTGCCCAAACTCAAAAAAGCCTATGAAAAAGGTACCAGGAGCATCTCATGGGGCCCCCTACTGACCCCGGGCCCTCGGGCAGTGCCCGAGTTTCCAATTGGTCAGTCCGCCCCTGGGTACAACCCACCAGATACTTCCCCACTCCATCCAACCTGCAAAACCTTCGGCTGGACCTTCAGTCCAAGAAACATCTGCCAGTCATTGCCATCTGCATCCCATGGAGGAGATTTCCCTTCACTTCCTGTCCTGGGAACTTGGTGGAGGGGGCTGTTGGGGCAGGTGGGGATATGGTGGAGGGGGTTGTCGGGTCGGGTGGGGACTTGGTGGAGGATTTTGTCGGGACAGGTGGAGACGTGGTGGGAGGGGTTGTCGGGACTGGTGGAGACGTGGTGGAGGGGATTGTCGGGACGGGTGGAGACGTAATGATGGGGATTGTCGGGTCGGGACGGGTGGGGACATGGTGGAGGGGATTGTCGGGACGGGTGGAGACGTAATGATGAGGGGGTTGTCGGGACGGGTGGGGACGTGGTGGAGGGGATTGTGGGACGGGTGGAGACGTAATGATGGGGATTGTTGGGACAGGTGGGAGACGTGTGGTGGAGGGGATTGTTGGGAGGTGGAGACGTGGTGGAGGGGGGTTTGTCAGGGCGGGTGGGGACATGGTGGAGGGGGTTGTCGGGAAGGGTGGGGACGTGGTGGAGGGGGTTGTCGGAAGGGTGGGAACTTGGTGGAGGGGGTTGTCGGGAAGGGTGGGACGTGGTGGAGGGGTTGTCGGGACGGGTGGGACGTAATGATGGGGATTGTCGGGACGGGTGGGGACATGGTGGAGGGGATTGTCGGGACAGGTGGAGACGTGGTGGAGGGGATTGTCGGGACGGGTAGGACGTAATGATGAGGGTTGTCGGGACGGGTGGGGACATGGTGGAGGGGATTGTGGGACAGGTGGAGACGTGGTGGAGGGGATTGTTGGGACAGGTGGAGACGTGGTGGAGGGGATTGTTTGGGATGGGTGGAGACGTGGTGGAGGGGGTTGTCAGGGCGGGTGGGGACATGGTGGAGGGGTTGTCGGGAAGGGTGGGGACGTGGTGGAGGGGGTTGTCGAGACGGGTGGGACTTGGTGGATGGGGGTTGTCGGGAAGGGTGGGGACGTGGTGGAGGGGTTGTCGGGAAGGGTGGGGACGTGGTGGAGGGGGTTGTCGGGAAGGGTGGGGACGTGGTGGAGGGGGTTGTCAGGCTGGGTGGAGACATGGTGATGGGGGTTGTCGGGACGGGTGGGGTCGTGGTTGGAGGGGGTTGTCGGGACGGGTGGGGGGTTGTCGGGACGGGTGGAGACGTGGTGGAGGGGGTTGTCGGGACGGGTGGGGACGTGGTGATGGGGGTTGTCGGGACGGGTGGGGACGTGGTGAGGGGGGTTGTCGGGACGTGTGGAGGGGGTGGTGCCGGGACGTTGGTGGAGGAGGTTGTCGGGACGGGTAGGGACGTGGTGATGGGGGTTGTCGGGACGGGTGGGGACGTGGTGGAGGGGGTTGTCGGGACAGGTGGGGACTTGGTGATGGGGGTTGTCGGGACGGGTGGGGACGTGGTGGAGGGGGTTGTCAGGGCGGGTGGGGACATGGTGGAGGGGGTTGTCGGGAAGGGTGGGGACGTGGTGGAGGGGGTTGTCGAGACGGGTGGGAACTTGGTGGAGGGGGTTGTCGGGAAGGGTGGGGACGTGGTGGAGGGGGTTGTCGGGAAGGGGGGGACGTGGTGGAGGGGGTTGTCGGGAAGGGTGGGGACGTGGTGGAGGGGGTTGTCAGGCTGGGTGGAGACGTGGTGATGGGGTTGTCGGGACGGGTGGGGTCGTGGTTGGGGGTTGTCGGGACGGGTGGGGGGGCTGTCGGGACGGGTGGAGACGTGGTGGAGGGGGTTGTCGGGACGGGTGGGGACGTGGTGATGGGGGTTGTCGGGACGGGTGGAGACGTGGTGGAGGGGGTTGTCGGGACGGGTAGGGACGTGGTGATGGGGGTTGTCGGGACGGGTGGGGACGTGGTGGGGGGTTGTCGGGACGGGTGGGGACATGGAGATGGGGGTTGTCGGGACAGGTGTGGACTTGGTGATGGGGGGGGTTGTCGGGACGGGGGGGACGTGGTGGAGGGGGTTGTCAGGACGGGTGGGGACGTGGTGGAGGGGGTTGTCGGGCTGGTGGGGACGTGGTGGAGGGGGTTGTCGGGACGGGTGGGGACGTGGTGGATGGGGTTGTCGGGGCGGGTGGATACGTGGTGGGCGGGGTTGTTGGGGCAGGTGGAGACGTGGTGAAGGGGTTGTCGGGATGGGGTGGGGACGTGGTGGAGGGGGTTGTTGGGGCGGGTGGGGACATGGTGGAGGGGGTTGTCGGGACGGGTGGTGATGTGGTGATGGGGGTTGTCGGGTGGGGACGTGATGGAGGGGGTTGTCGGGACGGGTGGGGACGTGGTGGAGGGGGATTGTTGGGGCGGGTGGGGACATGGTGGAGGGGGTTGTCGGGACGGGTGGTGATGGGGGGTTGTCGGGGGGGTGGGGGACGTGATGGAGGGGGTTGTCGGGACGGGTAGGGACATGGTGATGGGGGTTGTCGGGACGGGTGGGGTCGTGGTTGAGGGGGTTGTCGGGACGGGTGGGGGGGTTGTCGGGACGGGTGGAGACGTGGTGGAGGGGGTTGTCGGGACGGGTGGGGACGTGGTGATGGGGGTTGTCGGGACGGGTGGGGACGTGGTGGAAGGGGTTGTCGGGACAGGTGGAGACGTGGTGGAGGGGGTTGTCGGGACGGGTAGGGACGTGGTGGATGGGGGTTGTCGGGACGGGTGGGGACGTGGTGGAGGGGGTTGTCGGGACGGGTGGGACATGGGATGGATGGGGGTTGTCGGGACAGGTGGGACTTGGTGATGGGGGGTTGTCGGGACGGGTGGGGACGTGGTGGAGGGGGTTGTCAGGGCGGGTGGGGGACATGGTGGAGGGGGTTGTCGGGAAGGGTGGGGACGTGGTGGAGGGGGTTGTCGGAGACGGGTGGGAACTTGGTGGAGGGGGTTGTCGGGAAGGGTGGGGACGTGGTGGAGGGGGTTGTCGGGAAGGGTGGGGACGTGGTGGAGGGGGTTGTCGGGAAGGGTGGGACGTGGTGGAGGGGGTTGTCAGGCTGGGTGGAGACGTGGTGATGGGGGTTGTCGGAACGGGTGGGGTCGTGGTTGAGGGGGGTTGTCGGGACGGGTGGGGGGGGGTTGTCGGGACGGGTGGAGACGTGGTGGAGGGGGTTGTCGGGACGGGTGGGGACGTGGTGATGGGGGTTGTCGGGACGGGTGGGACGTGGTGGAGGGGGTTGTCGGGACGGGTGGGACGTGGTGGAGGGGGTTGTCGGGACGGGTGGGGACATGGAGATGGGGGTTGTCGGGACGGGTGGGGACTTGGTGATGGGGGTTGTCGGGACGGGTGGGGACGTGGTGGAGGGGGTTGTCAGGACGGGTGGGGACGTGGTGGGAGGGGGTTGTCGGGGCTGGTGGGGACGTGGTGGAGGGGGTTGTCGGGACGGGTGGGGACGTGGTGGATGGGGTTGTCGGGGCGGGTGGATACGTGGTGGGGGGGTTGTCGGGGCAGGTGGAGACGTGGGAAGGGGGTTGTCGGGATGGGTGGGACGTGGTGGAGGGGGTTGTGTGGGGCGGGTGGGGACATGGTGGAGGGGGTTGTCGGGACGGGTGGTGATGTGGTGATGGGGGTTGTCGGGGTGGGGACGTGATGGAGGGGGTTGTCGGGACGGGTGGGGACGTGGTGGAGGGGGGGGTTGTGGGGGACGGGTGGAGGGGGGACGGGTGGTGGATGGGGGTTGTCGGGGTGGGGACGTGATGGAGGGGGTTGTCGGGGTGGGGACGTGATGGAGGGGGTTGTCGGGACGGGTAGGGACATGGTGATGGGGGTTGTCGGGACGGGTGGGGTGATGTGGTGATGGGGGTTGTCGGGGTGGGTGGGGACGTGATGGAGGGGGTTGTCGGGACGGGTGGGGACGTGGTGGAGGGGGTTGTCGGGGCAGATGGGGACGTGGGTGAGGGGGTTGGGGTGGGTGGGGACGTGGTGGAGGGGGTGTGGGCTTTCCCTGCAGGCCTTGTGGTGTGGCCCCTGGTGGGGGTGGACTTTCATCTGCAGGCTGTGTTCTGTGGCCCCTGGGGGGTGGGCTTTTCTCTGCAGGCTGTGTTGTTGTGGCCCCTGGGGGGGTGGGCTTACCCCTGCAGGCCGTGTAGTGTGGCCCCTGGGGGGACATGTCGCGCCCTGCTCATGTGGTGTGGGCCCTGGGGGGACATGTTGGGCCCTACTTGTGTAGTGTTGCTCCTGGGGGGACATGTTGGGCCCCTGCTCATGTACTGTGGCCCCTGGGGGGACATTTAGGGCCCTGCTTGTGTAGAGGTGGCCCCTAGGGGGACATTTCAGACCCTGCTTGTGTAGTGTGGCCCCTAGGGGGCCCTTGTGTAGTGTGGCCCCTGGGGGGATATTTTGGACACTGCTTGTGTAGTGTGGCCCCTGGGGGGACATGTCGGGCCCCTGCTCGGGCTGTACACACATGGC